GCACTACACTAACAACTTGCTAGTGAAGCACGATGGAGTAAGGATTCTGAAAGAAATTCTCAATAGAGGTCCTAAATGACCTCATTACGCTCGTTCTTCGAGTCCAAAATGGAAGTGTTTCCCGATGAACTGTTGGAGGCAGCTCACGGTGATTCGCACACACACCAGTATATGGGCTTGCGGAGCGTCATGAAACATAGATGTACGTCTGGCAAGTCACATCGTAAAAAACCATCCAACGAGTTGGCAACCCTGAATTCAACGATCAGCTTTTTCTAGTCAATTTCTCGTTCACCATTGAAAAAGCCGCCGCACACTTCTATACTCCTTTTGATATGGTAACAGATTGGAGACTAGCGGTATTCGACTGCCCGTTGATGAAGGATACTGTACTACTCAGTCTGACGAGCTGAAATAAATGTCCCTTATCCCACTCGAGATTCTAATGATAAGCTCACCAGAAGTAGTGCTATCCAATTGTGATCGTCCCATCTGCTGGAGGCTTTAACTTGTGGGTTTCTAGCATGTCCATTGGATCGTCACTTTTCCCCGCCGCAGTGCAAACAAGCATTCATGATACGTTTACACCTCAGCTCTGAGTGAGACACAAGGGCCTTTACCGGATGGGGAATGAACACAGGTGACATCCAATTCATATTCAGCTCTTGCTATCAGACAAGCTATACGCACACTGAATGCGAATTCCAGCTGTCTACTGTTGTCCAGATGGTTGTCAGGCCAACGCATGTCAGAAATAACATACATGAATTAGATGGTAACAATGATTCAGTGACCATGCCGGCCTTAGTAGCATCAAGTACCCGTCTGATGTCGAAACGGGAACGCAAGTTGAATCTCACGCTAATTGGATCCACTCCCCTTCAAAACGTAGTGACAGCCTGCCGTTCAGTAGTCACGTTTATTCTCTGGATTGAATTTATGTCTAGGGTCGTTTATATATGTTGCCAAGACAGCAACAAAGCTGCATACCACGTAAAGTGGTAAACAGAAGCCAAACCAAGTTGGACAACTTGCCAGCCTAAGTAGTGCATGCACACTCACCGTACAGTTCCTGTACAGGATGTTCACGTTTTAGTGTGCCTTGCAGGTGGGTAAGCCTCTCGGAGGATTCCCGACAAATTCCATTCAGACCAGCCCGCTGCGTGCAAGTCGGATACCAAGTTGACTCAATCCACCCCACAAGTTAGGGTTCCCACGCTCGAAGAATACAGTCCCATGCTCACACCCGGTACACAAAACCTTAAATACTAACATCACGGGTGAGGTCCGTCCTAGCATCTACCTACAGATTTGTCTGTAACATTTCATCTAGGGCTGAACGATCTAGTCGCACTTACAGCAGCGCTTATCTCCTTCACATTTCATCATGTAAACTTAGAACCATAGTAAAGACATCAAAGGAATAGCTGTTAGAAGCGTGGTCTGGTCAACATTTGCTGCAAAATTTCGAACTAATAGTGACTGTGGACTAGAATAGCGATGGGTTTTTCAAGCAGCTGACAAGAAGTTATTTCCCCAACAACAATTCCCCAACAACTTCGGATGTCCGAACATTGATACCTGGTTGAAGTGACAACCAGTAGATCACAGAAAGCACCAATCAGATGTGTATACAGATCTCTGACAAGTTTTGGTGCTGTCTAAATTGACGCAGAAATAGCTGAGAATAAAATACACCATCAAAGTAGATTGTCTGAGTGTTATGGAAATTACTCTGGTGTCCCCCTCCCTGGCCATTACACATATTTTGCAAACTTCTAAGTGTCTTAATGTGTTACCAACTTTTCATTCAAATCTACGAAATCTGGATGGTTGCATTTTCCAAGTACGTAATAAGTTCCAAACTTTCAGTTTTTGACAATTATTCGTTCAGCTGTAGCACCCTTTCGGTGCCTAGCTGCCATGTCGCACAAAGGAGGCACGAGGGCTGGGATACTGCCAGGTTGCCCAAGCCTAGACAGGGGAAGTCGAGAGGTAGCGGTCGGGTTCGAACCACGGACATTCCGGTCTGTAAATTCGCGCTCTTAACACTTGGTCCATCTCGCCCCCCAATTTCGACTATTAGTACTCGTCACTGAGTGAAACACAATTGNTTTATTCTCTGGATTGAATTTATGTCTAGGGTCGTTTATGTATGTTGCCAAGACAGCAACACAGCTGCATACCACGTAAAGTGGCAAACAGAAACCAAACCAATTTGGACAACTTGCCAGCCTAAGAAGTGCATGCACACCCACCGTACAGCTCCTGTACATGATATTCACGTTTTAGTGTGCCTTACAGGTGGGTAAGCCTCTCGGAGGATTCCCGACAAATTCCATTCAGACCAGCCCGCTGCGTGCAAGTCGGATACCAAGTTGACTCAATCCACCCCACAGGTTAGGATTCCCACGATCGAAGAATACAGTCCCATGCTCATACCCGGTACACAAAACCTTAAATACTAACATCACGGGTGAGGTCCGTCCTAGCATCTACCTACAGATTTGTCTGTAACATTTCATCTAGGGCTGAACGATCTAGTCGCACTTACAGCAGCGCTTATCTCCTTCACATTTCATCATGTAAAATTAGAACCATAGTAAAGACATCAAAGGAATAGCTGTTAGAAGCGTGGTCTGGTCAACATTTGCTGCAAAATTTCGAACTAATAGTGACTGTGGACTAGAATAGCGATGGGTTTTTCAAGCAGCTGACAAGAAGTTATTTCCCCAACAACAATTCCCCAACAACTTCGGATGTCCGAACATTGATACCTGGTTGAAGTGACAACCAGTAGATCACAGAAAGCACCAATCAGATGTGTATACAGATCTCTGACAAGTTTTGGTGCTGTCTAAATTGATGCAGAAATAGCTGAGAATAAAATACACCATCAAAGTCGATTGTCTGAGTGTTATGGAAATTACTTTGGTGTCCCCCTCCCTGGCCATTACACATATTTTGCAAACTTGCAAGTGTCCTAATGTGTCACCAACTTTTCATTCAAATCTACGAAATCCGGATGGTTGCATTTTCCAAGTACGTAATAAGTTCCAAACTTTCAGTTTTTGACAATTATTCGTTCAGCTGTAGCACCCTTTCGGTGCCTAGCTGCCATGTCGCACGAAGGAGGCACGAGGGCTTGGATACTGCCAGGTTACCCAAGCCTAGACAGGGGAAGTCGAGAGACAGCGATCGGGTGCGAACCACGGACATACCGGTCAGTAAATTCGCACTCTAACCACTTTGTCCATCTCGCCCCCCAATTTTGACTACCAGTACTCGTCACTGAGTGAAACACAATTGTGTGCATCATAGGTTAATCTGCACGACTGCGAATAGTACAAGGAAATCAGTGGTGATAAGAGTTCCTAGCTAAAACAGTGTACACTACGTCGATGATACGGGTGTTCTCCTGTCTATTTTCAACTAGTTATTAGGAAGGCACTTGCATGCCAAAATCAGAGATGGTTATTGCCCAAAAGAGTAAGCTCCAAAAATTAAAAAAAACAACCAGCAATGTGTCTTCCAGTATCTCAACTGGTGGTGAAAAGAATTTGCTCTTCAGATTTACCTAATTCGTACGGTAAATTCAGTTTTTAACAGCGAAATGGGTGTCCGTGGTTTCATGTGAGGCCATTTGTGAAAATCGGAAGATGCGTGATCGATTCTCCACATGGACAACTTGTAAGTTGCCAGCAGTCGTGTCTCTAAGCAACGCACTCGTATCTTTGGAGGGGGAGCATGTGATTTTTTCATAAAGGGAACTGCTCAAATGTTGCTGAAAACTCTTCGACTGCCCACGACCGGTTTCGCCCTTCTTAGGGCTCATCAGGTAGGCGCAGTCCCCGAGTTTCCGTCAACCTTGTGATCTACTTGAACCAGAACTGCGATTTTATGAGTAGTTTCCTTTATGGAAATATACTGCGATATATCGAATATCGTGCTAACTGAATCATGAGGTGGCCTGTGTGCAGCACATTCAGTTGTAGAATATCATAAACGAGAGATTCGGTTGAGTCTTTCGTTAAAAACACATTGATTTGCAAATTAGTGTATTTCTCGGGAGCATGTGATATTTTACTTGCGTTAAATTCTAACAATCAGAGTAGCTTGCATGAAACGGGTGCTTATCGGGGGCTTCAATTAGAGGCTTCACTTTCTCGACAGTTTCACCCCCTAATGACATGCATGATTGTGTTGATTCACTTTACTTTGGCTTTCTGTCCATACGTATATGATGTGTTACAACTAGTTTCTTTCTGTCCTGTAGTTAGTAAGTGACCCTCATAACAGGCGTCCTTCTAAATACATCACTTAAAGCACCTGACTACTATCCAAACCGTTTCGATGGGGGAGGATGGACTGCTTGGAATCCAAAGCCTACACTGTACATATCAGCCCAATGTTTTCCCAAGCAAAACACGTGATACTGCACCACAAATCAACTGGCACGGTTGTGTTTGTTCTGACTGCATGCAGCATTTTTCTATTCTATGATTAACCAGCAAGGTGATGAAAAATCTTCGCAAACCGACTAGGAGGTGTGTATCAGGCTGTGACCCAAGTCAGCGGATGAAAGTTTTTATCCCCGAAAAAACACCAGATAGGCATGGGTAGTGTGGCTCAGTTACAAATGAGGTTTTGATAACTGGGGCTTATTTTATTTTCACTAACCTAAATGTCTGAGCAGATCATGGAACGATATGGTCCCAAGTTGAATCACTGTTTACTAAGGCGGCACCTTATCCCCTTATCCCATCAAATTAGCTTCTCATTTGTGTATTTTAACGAAAACACGTGCCAGCTAGACCTGGACAAATAACCAATCGGTTCCCATAATTTGCATACTCATCACTTGAACCAGTCTGGCGTAAGAGTTTGATTGTGTACAAGCAACCAGTGAATCGAAGGTTCGAATGAGAGCCGAAGCAACGGGATGAAGTACAAAAACTGAGATAAGATCGGGGAATTGGATGCTTCCACTTTGTGTGCAGAGATTACTGGGATTTCAAACAGACTAGACGATGCTCAGTGGGACCAAGAGGAAACTCAAGTCCTCCCTGAGGAGGACAGGCCTAAACTATGACATGAACACAAACCAATCCTACGATCTGTGTGAATAGGTTTGTCCATGACCATTTACAGATATCGATGAGGTATGGGGACGTGATCTCAAACCAACTTACTACTCGGTCAACTATACGGGGTAACTGTCGATTGCCTGAATAACTAAGAAGCAGTATAGTCTTGGATCCAATTAGCTAACTTTCCAACTTCCCATACCTCTTGTTACCGTTCATCAATTCGAACTGTATAGTCAAAATTACACGCCAATATATTCTAGCCATAATTACGAGCTGTCATACACGTCTGGCTATTTCCCACTAATTACAGCTCACAAATCATTAAGAAAAAATAAGGAAGCCAAAATCCAGCAATCCCCAACCGTGTTTGGCTCGTGTGAAAAATACCTTTCTACACCTCAGTCGTGTGACAGAACAATCCTAAATAAGTAAATACTGACAGGCCCTCCTGCAATACCGAAAATACATACCTTCAGAGAAAGGGCCTCGGCACAGACCACAGGTGTCATGCATTCTGTACTACAGGACAGCGAATTTTAAACACCAAGTTGCATGATTTTGCGTGTATCCTTAAACAGAATGGAGGGTAAAAAATACCGATCTGAGGGAAGAGAGAATAACCCTTGAAGCAGTGAGTTAGTCACTAATTCATGACTTCAAGTGTCATAAAACAATAGTTGATCTTACGAGGTGCAGAGAAAAGACCGACTGCATGTGCGTCCAAACTAAAATAGTAATTCCGCCCAACTAAATGAAAATGGTCAGTCCCAACAGGACGTACTTGTTTCTTCCAAGAATCGGGACGGGGGTAGCTTACCACATAGTCCTACACAAGCATCTGAAGCTCGATAAATGCCCATGCAAAAAACATGATGACGTACTCTAGGTTTCAGCGATTCTACGGGCACCTTGACATAATATCATCAGTGGAAATCAAAAGATAGATACACCTTAGTTAACCTCAAAGGCCAGTGGTTCCGATTGGAGGAAAGACACCCAAACATGACCTGTAAGCTACCTGAGACCATTGATGCCCAGTTCATCATTGGGCGAAAAATCGTTGGGCGCACTCAACCAAATCATGCATCAAAGCGACCCACAAATTGCTTCAGTATTGATTCAGGGAGATTTGGAAGCGTTCGTAGATGAACAGATTACTCATATTCATGCGCTATCACGTAGAGGAAGCACTTACCTATTGACATTTGGTGATAGGTACAAAGATCGAAAGGACATTGGATTCGACTACACAGCCCCTTGCTAATCAGTGAAAGCGGTGGCGGGTTCGAACAAGTTATCTCTTTGTATTTGATTATGGAAATCGTGTCGCTGAAAATGCCCAGATGGTCATTCATCGTCATGATGACAAAAAAGGATGATATTAAATAGTACACAACAAAATGTATAAAAGCCTCGGTTGCCCCGGAAACCATGACAGAGAGTAAATCAGCCGCGCTTCTGCATCAAATTAACTATCACACTGTCGATGATCGGTTTTTCAAAGACAATGACGGTACGACACACAATCGAACCATACGCCTCCCCACACGCGGACCAGCCTAGATTGAACAAAAAGCCCGCTTGAAAAATGCCTTTTACGATGTTCTGATTAATGGAAGAAGGATTGCCTTTTTCGGCAGGCTGAGATCAACGTATAAAAATCTGAACAAAAAGTCCGCTTGAAAAATGCCTTTTAAGGTGTTCTGATTAATGGAAGGATTGCCTGTTTCGGCAGGCTGAGATCAACGTATAAAAACCTCAGAAACTAGAACGACGGTAGATATATCTACTCGGCCACCCGACTACCAAGTGTGCACAAGCCGACATGGCTCGAATGTTCCAATAATAACGATGCCAGCTACGAAGCATAAGTGCGACAGGCTACGGCTATCTCCTCTCATAGTCGCATCGATGAGAAGGTTCAAGCGCTCGCCCGGTGCATCTGGAAAAGAACGCAGAAACCACAAAAACCGAAGTCCCGCAAACAAAGGACCCTGGGCACGGACAGGCAGGATAGCTACGCGTCAACACACGGGTCAATGACGCACCCACACGTTGGCGGCCTGGACAAGAAATCCACCTACCTACCCACACACCCTGCTTGTCGCATGCATGCCCTTCGGTTGGTCTCAAGCCGGCTGAAACAGCTGGCCTATGGGCCAGACGTTGCTTTGTTCACGATTTGGGCCAATGGGCACAGAGATAGACCAGCAAGGCGATGCAACGGCTAGACAATACCTAGACAAGCTCACTGTGCTTCGCCGGTTTTGCCAATCACTATCGGCTAAGGCCGACTAACATCAAGGTATGGTGATTGGTGGATGGGAGGGCTGTTACGATCGATAGGCGGTAAGATTGGATGAAATGTGGTTTTGTGGGGAAAATATAAGGCAGAAGCGGGTTTTGCCGTCCGTCTGCGTTGCTCTACTGCGCCATGGCTCCGAAGGTCGTCTCCGGTAAGGCCGCGAAGAAGGCTTCGAAGGTGAAGGTACCGAAGGTTGACAAGAAGAAGAAGCGAAGGAGGAAGGAGAGCTATGCGATCTACATCTACAAGGTGTTGCGTCAGGTCCACCCCGACACTGGTATCTCGTCGAAGGCGATGTCAATCATGAATTCGTTCGTGAACGACATTTTCGAGCGTATTGCTGCCGAGTCTAGCCGTCTTGCGCACTACAACAAGCGGTCTACGATCACTAGCAGAGAGATCCAGACTGCCGTTCGTCTGCTTTTGCCCGGTGAGCTTGCAAAGCATGCGGTTTCTGAGGGGACGAAGGCAGTGACGAAGTACACGAGCACCAAGTAGATTGTGGGTGCCGGTCGAGTAGAGAACGCTTCCACGGCCCTTTTCAGGGCCACCACACTTTGATATGCCTGTTCTTTCTATTTGTTATTCGATATGTGGGGACTGGGATGGTGTGGGGCGTGTTGTGCTGGCTTGGGTTTGGTGTTGCTGTGCGGCGCCCGTGTTCCTGAGGCGCATTACCCTGCGTACGTGGGCGGTTTGATTAGTCCACACCTGGAAGGTGAGGTTGTGTATGATAAAGTGGTAGTGATTGTTCTTGTGGGCTCTGTTAGCCAAGCGTGTTTTGTGCTCTGAGTAACGTGGGTGCCTTTGGGCTAAACAAATATGCTAAGGGCTTAAAGTGGGTTAGGTGCAAGTAGAACATTGTCTTGCACCCCAAGAGTTGGAAGCGCGAAATATCGGCTTTCCTGCTTCCGGACGTGCATCCTCAATTGCCTCTCCATGGCTTTCACGTGGGAGGCGCTGCCGTGCGCAACAGGCTGCGCAGTTCGGTCCACCGGCTGATTTCTGTTCTCTACCTATTAGGTGTCGTATTTTATGATGGCTGATCAAATTCGCTGTGCACTGTTTTGATGGGTGTGGATGGGGCGACACGATTACTGCTTCCCATTGAAGGGCATCAACTAGGTGTTCCTCTTCAGTCTATCCTAGGTGGCTTTGGGTATCTCGTACCATTTAAGTGCTCTAGCTCTGTTTAGAGTGTGATCGGAGGCGGTTTCATCATCATCAAAGAGGGCAACGTCAGTGTTGACAATGAAGCTCTACTGTCGCACTCGGAAGCAATGTACAGCCCACCGTCGTCCGACAATCAAAATGGGTGAAGACCGACTGGATGTACAGCCCACCGACAATCAAAATGGGTGAAGACCGACTGGACTGTTTCAGCTCCATCTGCAGAATGCTGGTGGGTAGGACATAGGGTCTACTCATGAGTAGGCATTTGGTGGCCTGTATAGTACGGACATTGAGTCAATGGCACTTGCTCACTTTTAACACGCTTTTACTAAACCAGCAATGAAATAGTTCCTTCGATACTGTTGACTGGGACCATCAGTCGTTTGACTAGGTCTAGCCGTCCAAACCCGAGACATCCTAGTGTATGTAGTGGTTCAACAAAGGCTCTGTTGTTGTCCCTTTAGAATCCACATTGTTGCGGACTTCAGCTTGTGACATAATGCTGTATTGTGTACTGTTCGCATGACAAAAGCACCCTACCCAAGTCTTGACTCCCAAGAACTAGGATTACTGGAAACGACCGTATATCATACCTGTCAACATGGACTTACAAGGCCTGGAACGTTGACTCTGGATTACTGGAACCGTATATCATACCTGTCAACATGGACTTACAAGGCCTGGAACGTTGACTCTGTGAGGGAATTAAGTTTCGTACGTATATATATCGGACCCGACAAACTAGAAATCCAGAATTCAGCGAAGAGTGGCAACCAGCACGAATGTATTCGAATTGGCGAATATGTACAGCATATGGAATATTAAAACAAGAGAATAATGAATAGAGCAATGAATAGAGTATCAGTCATGTTCATCGCATCCGCCACACCTTGAATGAGCGTGCCGGTGTTTATAGTCCAGTGGTGGTCTTGACCGCAATCTTTCGGATCTTCTCGGAATGGAAAC